TTCGTTTTGGACACTAACTCACGATCTTTACTGAAACATCTATTCCTGGCTGTACAAACCTAGGGAGCCATTCTTTCTTATATTATTTCTTTTAGTGCTTTGTGTAACAGATACTAAACATAGTCGGTAAAGTTTGGAGAGGTTATACAAACACAACGCCTCTTTTACTGACGTATTTCTATCGATTTTGTATTACGTATCTATTGAGAGCCATCACACCACCTCTTTCATACCAGTAGTTAGGATTCATCGAGTCGCATTGGATAATAACGATTTTTCAATTAAGACTTCACGAGTGAAGTAATAACCATGTTGACATTTAGTTAAAAATTCATGTCTCCTTTTCTATGGGATTGTCACATTTACTACGGTGACCGACGTCATTAGATGGTAGTTTTGGTAAATATTTTCGTTTTATTGTATATTGTGGGTTCTGGGTTTATGGTATGGCCGGGGCATTTTATAGTACCAAAGAGCATACGAAATCAACAAGTCAATGATTCAGTGATATAGTACAATGGATATTTTTATTTTTATTATCAACTGTCCTTGAATAGTCATGTTTATGCTACCTACTCCTTATAGATTGGGACACTTACTGGACGTATTCGAATTTGGACACTTACCGCTATTGTGTTCTTGTTTTTTAATGAGATGGTCTACCTTTACTGTAAGAAATAATTTGAACTTGGGCATAGTGCGTAATATTTTGGTATTTTGAGGTTCTTTTCGAGTCACCTTTCACTGGGTTTGACAATACAGTATTCTAACTCTGTCGTCTAGATCTATATTTTTATTAGATGTGTCATTCTTAATGGCAATAGATTAGCGATTGTCGTTTATTGTAAAGTATATTACTTTTCTTTATCGCTTATAAGATAAAAATAAAACATCAAAATCAATCAATATTTTGACGGACTAGTGGTTGATTGAATAAATAATGTAAAAAACCCAGCGTCATCTTCATAGACAATGTTCTGTCTTTGTAAACATATGTTCTAGTATTTTGTAATTTTGTAGATTTTTTTCCATAATTCGCATAGATTACTGCTAATTTCATCTTTTTGTTCACTCAGTGTTGTTCGATTTGAGTACTGAGAAATTTTATGATATAACAATAAAATTGTTCAAAATAGTAAAATATTATTAAAGTGAAGGTGCAGTTGAACTCCCCAGAGTTTTAACTTCGGAAAAAAGTTAAGAATCTGATTTTTTAGGTTCCACGCTTTAAAACTATAGTTTACTTACCGGAAACAGAGTGGTGGGACAGAGCGTGTATCTCCTGCTCCATTTTCATCCTTCTCAATTGCACCATCAGCATTTTCTGTTCCCTGTCTAAAGTGCTGGCGGCTAACTTGCGTTCAAGATCAATGTCATGGGTCTGTCTCTTTAAGGAAGCGAGATCCGCACAATTTTTCACTCTACAGTGTTTATAACTTCTGCTGCTTTCTTGCATAAAGCTGTCTAACCCTTCGTCGCCCATTGCGTCTCTTCGGAATGTTTAGATTTGAAAGTTTACGTATACACCGTATAACATTTACCCTATACCAGAAAAACACTTTTGCCTTCACGGTATAAACCAATGCCCGTTTGTTCTAAATACTAGAATGTTCTAATTGTATGAATACTGCCTACTTGCGATTCCCTGAACTCCCAAGAAAATTCGTTGCTGCCTTCTGTTTAAGCGCCTAGTGTCTAAATTGTTGAGATGCTGGCACCTGCACAGTCATCTGTAATAATCATTAATTACACCTCATTCCGTTTCGTTGTCTGTTTGTTTTTGTCTCCGAAATCAATACACGCAAACTTAATACCGATAATCAAACAAAAAGGAACTGCGTTCATACCTTAATGTTTGAGCAGGTCTAATTGACCAAGACAGAGGTCCCTCGATGCCGTTTTAAGGACTGTCAAGCGCGAAGGGCACTGGCCCCATCCTTTCACAGGACATATAAAAAGTCCATCAGTCCATAGATATATCCGTAATCTTACTGTGGATTAGTGAAGAAAGCAATACTTACACCGACCGCTGGGACAAAAGATATTCTTGGTATTAAAAAACGCCATGTCTTAGTAAGGAGTCAAAAAATCATCGATCAGCTACTCATTTCGCGTAATTGTGGGCACGAAGGCATAACCATACGTCATGAGACAATCATTGTTCCTATTGTTTGAAATCGATTCAATTAATTGGTCTGAAATGGGGAAAATGTGGACGGAATAGGAAAAAATATATATAGGCATATATATATTCTCTATTCCGTCCACAATTATTGATATATACCAGTATATTTATATCACCCCTTGTGTTATGAATTGAATAATTAAACATTATTGGAACATACACCGGTAGAAAATGACATCGATGTTTTGTCTTAAAGACAGAATTAAAGCAACATTTGGGTCAATGAATTATTCATTAGATAAGATCGTTTATCCATTAAATGAAAAATGCTTTAATTTTTTTTTAATTCGTCCAAACCATCGCGAGATACAAAAGTAAGTTTCAAATTCATCAAAGTGACTTATTTTGCATCCTCCACATGTAGGCTAGTTCAAGAAAGCTCCATATTGTGGTGAGCTGTCGACTTTTTTTTTGGATTACAGTGTAGAATGATAGAGTGATGCTTATCAACACACATGTAGTATACTGTATACAGGGCAATAAGGAGATAATAACATTTTTTTGCATTTTTTTTAATGCCAGCTCAATATCATCACATAATTATTTCATTAAAATTCACGTGTTTTGCAACTTTCTTAAGTTGAGGTAAAACTGTCACTGCATGTTAAGCTTCTTCATTGCCAATTGCCTCACTGATTTTCTGTCCGTTTTTCCAGTGACTGTAGTTGCGAAATCCGTGCATACAACGAAGTACTTTGGTGCCAGTGACATCCCGTCAGGGCCCACCGAAAAGTGATCCTTACACCATTCTTGCAGGCCTTTTGCTTCACACCCTTCGTTCAAAACAACACATGCGCAGAGCTCTTCTCCAAGCCTAGCATCCGGTACACCCACAACGACAACCTGTTTAACAGCAGGATGCTCTGAGATAACATTCTCAACTTCTGCAGGGAAAACCTTGATAGTCGCACGTTTTATCATGTCGTCCTTACGGCCGCAGATTTTGATTTCTCCATCAGCATTCATCATTGCGATGTCTGAAGTGTGGAACCAACCTGTACCGTCATATGCTTTTCGTGATGCTTCTTCGTTATCTACATAGCATTTGGGTAAGATCCAAGGAGAGCGGATGCATAGCTCTCCTTCTGTGTCAGGAGGGACATCTAGACCATTTTCATCAATCAGCTTTATTTCAACACCTTCACTGATTACCATGTATTCTGAGCACGGTTTGCCTGTGAACTGTCTTATGGAGGCCACGCCAACTTCAGTTGAACCATAGCCATTAATCATGTGCTTCGCGTGAGGAAAAAGTAGCATGATATCTTTTGCGACGTTCATGTCCAGTATTTGCCCACCTGTGAGTATATACTGAAGACTAGGTACGTCGAGCAGCGAAGGGTCGTCTCGGGCGAGTAGATCAACCATGAAATAGTGCATCATTACTGCGTGAGTGCATCGCTCCGTCTTTAATATACCCATAACACAGTCGACATCTCTTTCAGAAACGACTAAAGCCGTATTCATGGTTATTGACGTTGCTCCAAAAACAGCTATCGTGAGCAGAGTGTTCATCCCGCCGATCCACGTCATTGGCCGGTCGTTGAAGAAACAACTGCCTTCTGTAACTGCCATCGTTTTGCTGAAAGAGGAGAAACGAAGAAACGAACTGTGTGTGTACTGTACACATTTTGGTTTTCCTGTGGAGCCAGACGTCAAGAAGACAAAGAGCGGATCATCCGGGGTGAAGTTTTCCGCGGCTGGCAGCTGATAGTAACCTAGAGCATGTCCTTCTTCAACCAGTGTACTCAGGCAAACAGAAGACCCGGCAATGCCGACAGAGTTTGGACCGAAGGTGATAATTTGCGTTGTCGTCTTGGCTATTTCTTCGCATGCCTTTCTTTCTTTGATGGTTCCGACGTACATGACCAAAGCGCGGCAGGCGTACTGCTCAACGTCGCCAACAAGGCTGTTTAAGTTGCTGAAAAGGAAAGCATTGCACCCAATGCGACTCAGCGCTATCACAACTGGTAAGTATTCAGAGCAGTTGGGAGCAAATATGGCCACGCGGTCACCACGCTTGTAGCCTCGTTGATGCAGTGCCGACGCCAAGGCAATGGATTTTATTTGAAGCTCTGAAAATGTCCAACATTCTCTTTCAGCTCGACTCTGGTAAACAATCACTGCGGTTTTGTTTGGTAATCGTTTTGCAGTTGCGTCAAAAACCTCCGAAAGGGTCGAGTATGGATAAATGGAGGTTTGAGGCCCATGGCGATAGCTTCTGCGCGGCATATGTATTGCGCACATTCGATCCATTCTCGCTTTCTAGAGAAGACATTTTCATGATTGTAAATTGCGACTTTCTGCAGCATGTTATGCGAATGATGTATAAAGATACCTATGCTGTAAAAGCAATGTTACTTAAACTGTGACTTGGGGGAAAAATGAAAGATTTGTTTTGAACGATTAGAAATTAAGATGTTGCACTTTTGTCGTTATTTGCACATACAGCACTTTTTAAAAAGACACTTTATAAAGATTTAAAAAACTTCCATAAAGACCTTACCGCAGGGAAAAATAAAGCCTCTCGATTGGCTGCTCCTTAAGCTCTATACTGTAGCTCACAGGTTTACGAACGGGTGATATTCTTAACTCAGGATACCCAAGTCGTATCTCCGAGATAACGGTATTTACTTAGTCTAAGGGCAAAAAGGGGAACTGCACTTCAGATATTTTTTTTATCTAGATCAGAAGCCCAATGCATATGGTTGGTGGCAAACTCGGGCGAATGGGAAAGTTCATGCCTAAAGAGTAAATTTTGCAACGTCAAATCTGTCTGTCTCATGTAACAATTCTTGTGCAAATTTGTGCACTGGTGGAAACATTCAATAAATAAAGCAATTATGCAATATAAAGCGCGATTATCACTTTTGAGAAGCCAAAACTGAAAACGCTATTTTAAATGATAAACCTTTTAGAAAATGATACAGGGATGCGCTTTGTGTAATTCCTTGGGGGAAATATCTCGTCAAGTATTTGTCATTTTGGCTTCCTTACTGTCAAACTAGTTTAATAATTTACTGCTGACAACACTAATGGATCGTATATAAATCTATTGCTAAACATTTCAATACATTTATGCCACCGGGTTTTTAGTCGTATGTTGGTAACAAAGCTTCTCTAAAATTTATTAATATATTTTGCAACTTGCTGAATAAAAGAAAACTATATAATTATTGATCTTATTCTAGACCACAGATTAAACATAACTTCAAGATACGAGATCTTTGGCCTAAAGGCCATGCTGTTCACACACTTAATACATAATTCTTCTGCATATCTGCCCCTCTTATATCATTACTGGGACACAAACAGCGCACCGAACACCTGCCCTCCATTCCGCATTTCGCAAGGTGTATGCAGCAGCTGCACAAAAGATAATTGGGTTTCTTACCCGATGAGTATTGAAGTAAGTTTTCTTTCCCCAGTTTTTAATTGTGTTAGTGAATTTATTATATGTCTTTGGTATTGCTTGATTTCAAAACTTCTTTTTTTACTTACCAGAAGAAGAATATGAATCGAATTGGACATTTTTCCCGGCGAAATTATTACCATAACCCTGCGCCCTCTCCCTATTTGTATGCAACCTTACCGGAGGTTTTTGACGCAACTGCCAAACGGCTTCCTTCCAAACATGCCGTCGTTGTTTACCAGAGCCGCACTCAAAGAGACTGTTGGACGTTTGCCGAACTTCGAAAGAAGTCCATTGCCTTGGCGACAGCACTGTATCAGCGTGGTTACAAGCGGGGCGACCGCATCGCCGTTTTTGCTCCAAACTGCCATGAATACTTTCTAATTGTGCTGGCACTGAGTCGCATCGGATGCAATGGATTTCTTTTCAGCAACTTAGACACCCTAGCTAACAATATGGAGCAGTATGCGTGCCTGGCGTTGGTCATGTACGTTGGAACAGATAAAGAAAAAATGGTTTGCGAGGAAATAGCCAAGAAGACTTCAGACATTGTTACTTTTGGTCCCAACTCTGATGGAATTTCCGGGTCTTCTGTTCACTTGTGTTCACTAATTGAGAAAGAAGATGCTCTCGATCACCATAACCTGCCCGATGCAAAAAACTTCACCCCAGACGATCCGCTCTTTGTCTTCTTTACGTCGGGTTCCACTGGAAAACCGAAAGGAGTACAATACACCCACCGGTTCCTCCTGCAGTTTTCTTCTTTCAATGATATGCTGGAAGTCAAAGAAGACAGCATTTGTTTCAACGACCGCCCATTGGCTTGGTTAGGTGGGATCAATACACTTATGGTAATGGCTGTTTATGGGGTTACAGGGGTAACCGTGAATACAGCCATAACCGTAGCCGATGGAGAGGTCGACTTTGTGATGGGAATATTAAAGAGGGAACGATGCACCCACGTATTAATGATGCGCTATTTTATGGTTGATCTACTTGGCCGCGACGACCCCTCGCTGCACGACGTACCTAGTCTCCAGTATATACTCACAGGTGGTCAAATACTGGACATGAACACTACAAAAGACATCATGCTTCTTTTTCCAAACGTTAAGTGCGTTGTTAATGGTTACGGATCGACTGAGGTTGGCTCTGGTGCTTTACGATTCAATACAATAACAACGTACAGCGATACCATGAAAATAGTCAACGGTGTCGAGGCCAAATTAATTGATGAAAATGGTCTAGATATCCCTCCTGACACAGAAGGAGAACTATGCTTCCGCTCTCCTTGGATCTTACCCAAGTGTTATGTGGATAACGAAGAAGCATCAAGAAAAGCATCGGACGATGCTGGATGGTTCCACACTTCAGACATCGCAATGATGAATGCTGATGGAGAAATCAAAATCTGCGGCCGTAAGGACGACATGATAAAACGTGCGACTATCAAGGTATTCCCTGCAGAAGTTGAGAATGTTATCTCAGAGCATCCTGCTGTCGAACAAGTTGTCGTTGTTGGGGTGCCAGACGCAAGGCTTGGAGAGGAGCTCTGTGCAAGCGTAATCCTTAACGAAGAACATACAGCAGATAGTCTTCAAGAATGGTGTAAGGCTCGCTTTTCCGTGGGACCCGATGGTTTGTCTTTGGCACCAAAGTACTTTTTGACACGCTCCGAGTTTCCGAAAACGCTTACAGGAAAAACTGACAGAAAACTAATCAAGCAGTTGGCAATAAACGAACTAAAATTAAAAATGTAAAATTTAATATTTGGATAACCCTGTCATAGGAACTGCCTCGCAAATCTATGCCTCTCTCTCTATGGTTTATTTGTTGATTCAGTGGTCTTTCACCCTCCTGCAACGTATCTGTGATGTATATTTTCATTAAACGGAACCAGAATAATAATTATAATATTTGTTTTGAGTCTAAATCAAAATCAGTAGACTATACAGTAGTGCTGGCCACTACTGGCCTGAAGTGAAAATATACTCTCCTACCAAAAAAGTGTCACCCCTAACGCAATGCATAAAGTGATACAGAAAACGATGTCATAAACCATTGTTCTTTATTCAACTTCTAGAGGGAATTTTTTCACATTTGTATTAACATTCTCTCTCCTCTGGGTGTGGTTTTCCTTCGGTCAGCCTTACCCAGGCGATAATACCCATGGTTGGTTATGATGTTGTCTGTCCCTCTGAATGGTTCTCATGGAACAACCCAACCCTCTGGCAATCCGGTGGGTTACAACTCTCTCCTATGTCAACCGCTCCCTCTCACTTAAGAGCTGGATATAAAAATATGTAGCAATGTACGTAATTGCGGTAGGGGTGACACTTTTTTGGTAAGGGGGTACTGTTATACATGTATAATAAAAAGCTAGTAAAAGAAAAGAAAAAATTGATTGAAACAGGAAAAATTGATTAAAAAAAAATATATATATATATAAATTAAATACGTAACTTCATCACTGAATTAAAAAAGTCAATTATAAAAATTCTGTTAATAGGCCTAATTTTTTTTGAGTGGATAAGTCTTGTGTTCCTCTTTAAAAGAAGCCGGAGCGCCTATCCTACGTAGTAAAAGCGGCAGTTAATTCCATTCTCTGGGTGCAGCAAGGAGCGACTTTAAAAGAATACTCACCAAAAGATGTATGTGACTGACAAAGCAAACCTACACGGTGTTAAGAGTAGCCTAAGTGGTCGGTAGTGTGTTTGGGAGGGGGGGAGGGGCGGATTAAGAGCTTGCGTTTTCCCCAAATGAATTTTTGAAAACGGCCTTTTAAAATCTTTATTAGTTGTACCAGGGCATCACATGTACTTGTAGGCCTATTTTTGCCCAATATGTAGGTAGCTTCATGTTGCAACTTCCAACATTTTCCCAGATCATCTATAATCGTAGGTAGGCCTAAGCCTACATGTTGTTCACGTTAAATAGTAGTTTAAACTTAGATATAGGCCCTATATTTGTCTTTCGTAAAAGACAATTGAAATTTGAAGTGTGAATCCCATGTGGTGTAAGAAGGCCTACAGTGTTGCCCCCTCCCCCCTCCAATCACTTGACCACACCGTAGTAGCCTACTGCACTAACCACAAAAATGAAAAGCTAAACTATAGTTAGCGCCCTCTAGTGGCTAATCCCTGTCGTTTGCGTCTCCTTCCTTGACCCATTTTGCAAACTCCCTTTATTTTCCAAGTCTGTACATAACTGGTAGAAGTAAATTACTGTGCAGATTGCAATCTCCATAAATCAACTGCTAAAGGTTAAAATGTATCCTTACACAAAGTGTAACATTTTATTATAATGCACTTTCTATATCACGGCAATCGTGCCCATGCACGTTACACAGAACATGTGTGCGGAATAATCTGAAGGTAAGTACGTACAATATAGTTCATCTGTACTTTATAAATTTTCTCCTATACTTTTAGTTTCTAGTAAGGTTTGCCTATATTTTGAATATCTACGGACTTTTTCCCCTACAGGTTGATAAAAACAGTATTTAAGACTTGTTTGGTATAGATTCGAGTCGTGTCACTTTAGGTCTTCCTCCGCACACTTCCTCTGTCGAGTCGTGCAAGTTGCGGACAGGTAAGGTGTGAGTGTATGCAGTCGTCCTAGCCAATTAACAGATATTTCAAACTTGACAACTCCATTGTTGTCCTTTGCCCTTTTCATCAGCCATATTTAACATTGCACATGAACCGTGGCCTGATTGTTTGCTTTATTGACTAGTGCACTTGCATTCTGGATTATAACACGTACCCCCCCCCCCCCCCTTTGTCCACACCGTGATCAAAAGATTTTCATGTTGCTACCT